AATTCAATCAAGTACATGGCGGTTTTAGACCACAAGAAGGTTTTATACATCATGTAATCAAGTATGCCACATATTATGTAATCAATGTTTACTTATCCATCATATTCATAATTCGGTTTCTTTTTGCTGTGATTGTTTGAGACACATAGTGGAGGTTGATTAATAATTTTATGGATTTCTTAACCATTGATAACATAGTTAATAACAAGTATTTTCAACATATAATTTAAGTCACATTAGTCATGTTAGTAGAAAAGTGATGCACATTTAAATTTGTATTGTTGTTCATTAAAATAGAGAGTGAAGGAGGTTTTTTGATATTCTGCGATAGTGCAATATCTGTGAACTGGGTTTGTGACAATACAGAGAAATGATAAGGCATGAGAATATCCTCCTACGAGTATAAGCTATTTTATCAAAACGAATTTGCATTTGGATTTGATTGTAAAAAGATATTATTATAAATCAATCAATAATACATTAAAATGGTGATTCACTCATATTCATTTTTAAAATTCATTATCCGTAAAGAAGGATTTTTACAACATAGAATAAAATTTCTAATGAACGTAGTAAATCTGATTGGAGATTGTAATTCAGTGAGATATGTGTACCTTCCTTATCATTGATTTCAGAATAAATGTTACATCTGGTTTTGCCGCCAGCGAACCCCCCCCCCCTCTCCCAAAAAAAAACCTTTAAAAAGCGATAATACGAAATTAACCAGCAAATAAGAATTGAACTACTGCTTACTTTGAGTTTATCATAAAAAAGTCATGCATAGTTTACTTGTTTTTCGGTGTTTAAAATTCAGCTGAAATTGTCAGCCAAAATGAAATACGGCGTACGCTGCTTATCATATCTGTTCATACTCTATTGTTTTCTGATACTCTTATGTTTATTTTCCTCGTATTATCAATTCTCCTTTATCAGTAGCAAATAGAAACAAGCAGCAAGTGCCTATAAGTATTCTAAAGACGCATTATAATTATAAAGGGTCCTTGCAATTGATTAATTCCTAAAAAAAAATTAAAATGACATGAGTTATTGAATGATTTTCGGCATTTTACATCAAGATTCATCTGTTTAAATATAAAAAAAGTCAGAGGAATATCGGATTTAGGAAATGAAAACAATTAGTAAATGCCCACTGAAAATCGAGCCCGGAAAGAATCTGGACACAGTCATTTTTTTTTTCAATTTCTTAATATGCCGTGAAAATGTTGAACGCAGCTTCAAATTATTTTAATCGGTAAGCTACCGGTAGGTAACACAGTTTCTCCACATGCAATTTAATTGTTTTATTTATCGAGGAGAACAAGGTTAAGTAAATAATATTTTGCTATGTTAATGATATTTATATAAATGCTATTCAATGCCATTGTTATTTTGCACACTTTTTGCATACGTGGACAGATCGATGCGATTAAAAAAAACTTACAGATAGTCGCCATAATGCATTCTTGATACTTGTAGCACAGGTTCAGAATCTCTGCTGCGTTGTTTTTAGCTCACCTAAGCCGAAGGCTCAAGTGAGCTTTTCTGATCACATTTTGTCCGGCGTCCGTCTGTCTGTCCGTCCATCTGTCTGTCTGTCTGTAAACTTTTCACATTTTCGACTTCTTCTCAAGAACCGCCTAACCAATTTCAACGAAACTTGCCACAAAGCATTCTTGGATAAATGGGATTCAAGTTTGTTCAAATGAAGGGCCACGCCCTCATTCAAGGGGAGATAATTGGGATTTAATGAAAAATTGGTTGTTTCTTTTAAAAATCTTCTTCGGAAGAACCACTGTGCCAGGAAAGATGAAACTTATGGGGAAACATCCTCAGGTAGTGTAGATTCAAGTTTGTTCAAATCATGATCCCCGGGGGTAGGGTGGGGCCACAATGTAGAAATATATAGGAAAATTCTTTAAAAACTTCTTCTCAAGAATGACAAAGCCATAATTCATCACATTTATATGGAAGCATCCTCAGGTAGTGTAGATTCAAATTTGTTCAAATCATGACCCCCAAGGGAGGGGGGGCCACAATGGCCGACCAAAGTTTTACATTGAAATAATAGGAAAATTCTTTAAAAATCTTATCAAGAATGAGAAAGACATAATTCATCATTGATATAGAAGCATCCTCAGGTAGTGTAGATTCTATGTTCAAATCTTGACCCCCAGGGGTATGGCGGGGGCAAAATGGACGACCAAACTTTTACATAGAAATATATAGGTTTAGGAAAATTCTTTAGAAATCTTCTTCTCAAGAATCGCAGAGCAATAATTAATCATATTCATATAGAAGCATCCTCAATTAGGGTAGATTCAAGTTTGTTCATGACCCCCGGGGTAGGGCGGGGCCAAAATGGCCAACCAAACTTTTACATAGAAATCTATAGGAAAATTCATTAAAAATCTTCTCAAGAATAGCAAATCCATGATTGGTCATTGGACAACTTTTGGATTTAAACTTTTCAATAATAAACCAATTTCTACTTTTTCCTAGCCACAATGCTCAGGTGAGCGATGTGGCCCATGGGCCTCTTGTGAAAATTCCTTATCAGTAGAGCTTGCATATACTACTAAGATGCAGACAAATTGATCCGCATGTTTCTTTGTTTACATGAGCAAAATAGTGGCTTGAATCTTACTTTGTGGTGTAAATTTAGCAATGATATGGCTTATTTGTGTAAAAAGGGTGCAACTAAACACTGTTGTCATGGACTCTGCAATAGTAACACTCACGAAAAAATATATGCAAGGAGTTGAATTTATAAGATTTCCAAAGCCTTGGAGAGATATTAAAAAATGTAAACGATGGGTGAATTAAAACGGGAAAGGGTTTTGAACTGCAAAGGTCACTAAGGATACATAAATTATATATATGCAGCAAGCACTTTGTTCATGTTGTTATAGGAAAATAAGGGGCAAAATAAACATTCAGACCATCTTCCTGCAATGCAATCAAACTGAAGTACAAAATGTATTACAGCATATTAATATGTGTTGAAATTTTGTGTTTACATAATAGTATACCAGTAAATGTAGAAAAATACATTGCTTATGTGTTCTCTGTTTTATTTAAATCTATTGACAGATCAAAAAGTGCACAACAAATCGTAGATGTCCCAGTCCCAGACAAGAAATCGCATATCCCTGAAAATGGCAAGAAATCTATTAAGATAATTCAAATACGTCCTGTGTCGTCACTTCCGGCCAAACCGAAAATGCATATTTTTACCGTTCTTGACACGTTTATGTCACTGGACCAGGTCGAGACCACTAGATTTTCTGGCGTCAGCATAAATTTTACATGTAAATTAGCTATATGTTTACTTTACCTACTGCTGAATGAGCTGCAATGCATTGTGGGCTACTCAAGTACCCAGCTGTGTTAAAAATAAAGGGCAACTTGAATTGTCCCTTTGAAACTCATTTTTAATTCCTTTTTAATATTTATGAAAGAAATATTTAAAATGATGTATAATCTTTTAAATTAATAAGTTAAATTTAGCTTCAGAAATAGATTGGAAAAAAGTCCATTATAATCTGCCAATCCTTGAAAATGAATAAAATTAATAATTATAAATTTATAAAAGAACTACCTTATCTGTTCCGAAAGAGCTGTAGATCTTTTAAAAGAGAGTGATTTGGTTTGTACTCTCTGCTGCGGAAAGTATAATCAATTGTATGTCATAGATCACAAACTTTGTTTGCTGAAATACAAATTTATCGTTATAAATATGAAATTTAAAATGACTCACATTTTCTAAACTTTGCTTTTCTGAACCGCGTGTCCGATAACAACCGAGTTGCCGATAACGCGTTAAGCAGTGTGATAAACATGCAATAGCAATGCAATATCCAGCCTCCCCGATCCATCTAATATGAGCTTCATCTACCCATTCCATTTGGCCAATAATGACAAAGAGCACACTGCTGATATGACTGTTCATTTGGTGGTTCTAATTTCTTTGCGCATTAAACAACATCCGATGTTTTTACAGATCCGCGTTTACAATTTTGTAATTTAAAGTCAATCTCTTTTTTCCTCCACTGTTTGAATTCTACAGCTTACATCTAGGTCTTTAAAGCCCCTTTGGGAAATTCATTGAACCACCATTGAGTTTAGATTCTTCAAATGCTCTGTTTCAAACGCATAAATGCACTCGTGTTCGAAAGGTTGTGAGTTTGAATTTCGGCGGCAACTAACCTAAGTCGATAAACATGGGTAGCAACTGTTCCTAAGCCATGCATTCGGCACCTTGATTGATTGTATGTTGTTTAACGCCCTCTCGAGAATTTTTCACTCATATGGAGACGCCATCACTTCCCGGTGGAAAGCTACAAAATTTGTCCCAAGGCTAACAAATGTTATAATAATACGTATCGAGGCTTTATTTTGTATCCGTATTCATTTATGTTTACAGAAAGCAAAACAAAACCATTCTCTGTTTCTATTCTGACAGAGTTTATATATTATAATAATTACACTGTATTTATTCATTTGTTTGTAATACAGCATATTCAGTTCTGAACAGTTTTAAGATCATATTAGAAAACAAAATCAAGACACATTAAATTTTGCTTCAGAAATACGGTATTTTTATTATTATTAAATGATGAAATAAGTGTCTATCTAATGCATTTTTCTTTACTTTATAGAAATGGTTATAGCTGCACTTTAAAAACTTAAAATGCCCGAAAACAGCTAGCCAATCTTATTAATTTGCAATAAAAGCATAATAAAATTCATCATGATAATGATACAACGCCTCAAAACATGCTCCAAATGTCAACAGGGAATCCAGTTTGTTTGCGAAAAATGCCAGAATAATTTTTGTAGACAATGTGTTAACCAGCACGTGGATGAATTCAGACATCTCCACCATTCCATAGTACTGTACAGACACAAGAAGTCTAATATAGACATTCCATTCTGCAGCAAGCATCCTTGTTACAAACTTGAACTTTCTGTCGACAATGCAACGTTCCACTTTGTCTAAAATGTTGGAGTTCATCAAAGTCCATGTTAAACATGCTTTTGGTTACATGCAGGAATTCATAGAAAGGAAAAAGAAACAAATTTTAGCAGATTCCGATATCTTAGTATCAACTATCATGCCAAAACTGCTAACGGAAAAAACGTCATTGAAAAAACAGTACACAGATGCAAACAATGAAATTGATGTAGTGTTAAAGAAAGCAGAGGAATTAAAACACAGTATCCTCGAGAACATTAACAATGTTTTTACTAGTTTTCAAAAACGAATGAATGTTGAAAAGGACATTATACAATCAAAATTTCAAAACCAGAATGTTTCTGTGAATGAAGCTTATTCTAAAGCATCACAGGAGCTTCAGAAATATCGTGATATAATTCATTTGGATGATGAAAAGGATACTTTAAAGATGATATTAAACTTCAAAAAGGATGACCAGGCATTCCCCATCAATTGCCGTTTTTCCTGTGACTTTCAAAAGAATATAAAATCTCCCATTGTTGTCCAAGGGAAGTTTCTTAGTCTGGTACAAGAAGTTCATGATGGTGAATTCGGAAACCTTGAGGTTGATCTCCATTATAATTCTGCAGAAGACACGGTCTCCCATGATGGGCCAGGACTGCTAAACAAAGCTTTAGTTATAAAAACGATTCAAACGAAGATCACAAACATTTTCCGTTTTGTGTGTGAAGGATCTAAAGTGTGGATAAACCAGTACACGAAACCAATAATTTACCACTTACATCTATTGGGTGATTCCACCGATGAAAAAGGTAATAATGAAATGATGTGTCCAGTTCCGCCAAGTGATATTACGATGGTCGACCATGGAATATACTACAGTGGGGAAAGAGAGGGTATTTTCAGCGTGAAAGATGGTGTGTCAAAACTGCTTCTAGCAAAACGTGATTGGTGGACCGAAGGACTCTGTGCAACAAGTACAGGCGGACTTCTGGTTTGTGTATCCAATATGTTTTCAGAGGAGGTTAAGATTATCAGATGTGATATGTCGAAAATAAAAGGGGAATTGATAATAATTCAAGAAATTCAGTTTAATGGAGAGAAACCTTTGTTTCATTTTGGAGATTGTGGACACTTTGTTGCAGAGAATAAAAATGGAGACGTCGTGTCTCCGATGGTAATGCTGATGCAGTCATTGTAGTTGACAAGGCAGGGAAGTTCAGATTTAAGTTTCAAGGAAGAGTTATATTTCTCCAAAAAAACTTTATCCCCGACCAAATAACTACAGATTCTATATGCAATATTATTGTAACTGATTATATAAACAATTGTTTGCACATTCTTGATCAAAATGGTTTGTATCTAAAACGTGTGGACAATTGTGGATTAGACGCTCCTATCCCTTTAGATATTGACGAGAAGGTAATCTGCTGGTTGGGGAAATACCTCACCGGGCAGATTAAAGTGATACGATATCGCAAATGACGGTTGAAATAGAAATATCAATCAAACAATATCCTGTAATCAGGCTTTATCCAATTTTTTAACACTTTCTTCGAAAACATTATTTCTGTTTATTTAGATTTCTGCAGAATTGAGTTCCTTTTTTTATACCGCCGGATTGAAAAATGTCGTGGTCAATGTCCAAACATCTGAGCTTTTTTTTGGTTTGTTTGTTTGCTTCTTGTTAAACGTCCCTCTCGAGATGTTTTCATACACAAAGAGACGCCATCACTGGTCGTGGGAGCTGAAATATTGACCAATACGCGGCACTTTAAGTCTCGGTTTAAAAGTCTCATCCGAAGGACCGGCCTCTACTATCCACTTTGATGCTACAATGTTGATTTTACAGGGTATAATTTTATAAAATTTTATATTTAGTTGACTGTTGTATATAAATGGTATCTACAAGGCATTTCATACATGTACTTTTTAAAACAGAAAGTTCATCAAAGATATGAAACCCTGTCAAAGTCTAAGCCTTATACATGTACAAATTCTTTCTTTTAATAACACGTGTTCAAAAGGGTATCAATGCTAGAAGAATTCCCTAATTTTAGTCTTTTATATATATATGTGCAATAAATATTTGAACCTAATACAAGTGTACTAGTATACTGAATTGTATATGCATATTAAATTAAAATTTTAGGTACCTAGGTGTTGTGTATGGAATTTATTTTTGAAGTGGATATTATCATTTTGATTCTCATATTATGAAGTACCGGGGTACTTAAAATGCACGTTTTGAAGCAGAAAACAAGAGTTTAACCACAAGGGCTACATCGATACCATGTACTATACAAATAGATTTATAATTATGTACATACAAGGATTGTCCGTAAAGTTCGTGTACACGCTAAAATTTAAATAAAAGTGGTGTCATTGATATTTATTATTAGAATATTTATAATCCTTTATGAAATATGAATTTCAAAATGTTGTATTCAACTTTTTTATACAAAGATTAAATTTTATTACTAGTAAGTGGCATAAAATCATGCCTTTGTGATTTTCTAAAAATACTCATGATCATTTAAAATATTCCGTTTGTTGTAGGCTTGTAACAGAGTTAAACTAGATGCTGTCATGAGACAGTAATACCCGCACTAAGGTGTTTGCCTCTAAAACACGCTCCTACATATTGGCCGGCTTTCCAAGGAAAAAGTAAATAATTCTATAATTTACATAGGCGTCGGAACCGGGGGGGGGGGGGGGGGTAGGGCGGCTTTTTTTCCAAACATATACTTAGTATAGATATTGAACATTGCTTCATAGATTTAGCCCCCCCCCCCACTTTCCACAGACAATGGCAGTATAGGTAAAAAATGGGAAAAAGGTAGTGTATAGAAAAAAAATTTTGGGTACTGAAGTTCGAATTCAACCCCCCCCCCCCCCAAATAAGATTTTCATGTTTGGGAAATTGATGTGTTTTCGTTTTGTTTTTGTTTTTGTTTTTTTTGCTTGTCAGGTTTTTTTTAGAAGGTATAAAAAA